TTCCTCGGCCGGAGGGTTCTGAGCCCTCCCGCGGTGGTTCGTGGGAATCTGAGCCGGGGCCGCGCTGCTTCCCCGCCGGCCCGCTGGGTGGACTGGCCTCGAGGGGTCGCAGAGCAGCAGCGAGTCACCGCGCTCGCGTGTCCACAGTCGCTGCCTCTCATCGCCTGCAGTCCGGACGCAGCAGACGCAGGGCCGCTGCTGGGTGGATGAAACCGACCCACGAACGCAGTGCTCAGGCCGCGGGGTGCTCAGACCCATGTGCTGCGCTCGGGCCCACGTGCTCAGGCCCTCGTGCTGCATTCACACCCACGTGCTCAGGCCCTCGTGCTTCATGCACACCCACGTGCTCAGGCCCGCGTGCTGCATTCACACCCACGTGCTCAGGCCCTCGTGCTTCATGCACATCCACGTGCTCAGGCCCGCGTGCTCAGGCCCACGTGCTGCACTCAGACCCACGTGCTCAGGCCCACGTGCTTCATGCACACCCACGTGCTGCAGTCAGACCCACATGCTCNTCAGACCCACGTGCTCAGGCCCTCGCGCTGTGCTCACCCACGTGGTCAGGTCCTCGTGCTGCGCTCAGACCCTCGCCCCGGCCCCCTTGAGGAGAAGCGCCGGGGGCGGGGAGACGGCGCCGACAGATGGGCCGCGCGGGCAGCATCTCGCCAGGAAGGAGCCGGGGCAGCGGGCCCGCGCTCTCCCGCCCCGCACAGCCTGGCCCCACGGCACCGCACACCTGCTCTCCAGAGGCCCACGAGAGGAGACGCGGCCCCTCGCCTCGGGAGCAGCGGGGCCCCTCACTCACACCGTGGGGTGCTCACGCGGCTCCCCTGCGACCCGGAGCTTGAGCGAGAACCCCTCCGCCTGGGGGACAGCAGCCGGCTCAGGGTCCTGGTTTTGCATAAAACTGCGGCCGCCGGAGCAGCGCNTGGTCCCGGTTTTGCACAAAACTCTGCGGCCGCCGGAGCAGCGCCCGCTGCGCCCTGGCCAGCGCCGGGTGAACGGCCCGAGCAAGCTGGGGCGGCCTTTCCCCTCTTACCCTCCGTGCAGTGTGGATGCCAGAGAGCCTGGCGCTTTCCACGCGCGCCACGGCGAGGTCACCAAGCCACAGGCTCCGCTTTGCAACTTGGGGTGGTAGTGACAAGCCCTGCTGTTCTATTACATCACCCACTCTGTTCCCTAAAACTTGACAATTAAAGGTGGCAGCATCTCGCCAGGAAGAAGCTGGGGCAGCGGCTGCCCTCCTGAGTTCAGTGGAGAGTTTATTAACCTCATTACAAGACCCCCTAGAAAAGCAGAGCACACGCTTCCTCTGATAAAAGCCCAATGCTCACATTTGTCAGGCAGAACATGATTACATTTGGCCTATTTATACCAAAGAGTGAGGTCTTATCGTGTCCTTAGCTGAAAAAGTCAGAAAACATGATAAACATCTGCTGCAAAATAATAAACCTCAATGGTTCTAGTTAATAAAAGTACATCTAGAAATATCCTTAAGGATTTTCCTTTTGAAGTATAGTAACTTCAGTTTTCCGTGTGCAAGACGATAACTGACACCCTCGCTTTCCAAGGACGCAAGGTTGAACCATGTGAAATGGTCTGTGTCCACCTGGCTGCAGGAAGCAGACTGAGCCAAAGACAGGTTGAGAGAGAGGAGCTAGTCAGCGAGGCCGAGGCTGCCTGCCCGGGACTGGCCCATGGGAGCTGGGGCGTGTGGTCCTTTCTGCAGGTAACTGCCCCCAAATGTGGCCAGCACTCCATCCCCTGCCCGGAGCTCTGCCCCCAAGGGACCTCACGCCCAGCCACCGCCCTACACCAGCTGAGGAAAGGGGCTCTGTTCCTGGAGGGTTTTAGAGGAACCCCGTGCAGGCATGTGGGAACCCTTCCCTAACGGCAACATTGTAACCATTTTGAAAGGTGATATAGAACCTCTTAAATTTCCTCTTCCTGTCACTAAGATTTCATAGTCTTGGTGGAAATGTGGAAAGCGTCAAACTCTCAAGTGACAATGACACTTGAATTGAGCCCCTGTGTGGTTGGAAGTACCTTGGAGGGCAGAACCCAGGAGTGTGGGATAGATGCAGTAATATTCAATCACTGGTCGTTCACTGTCCCATCAGATTGCCTGAATCACTTCTGTGGACGTGACCGCAAATCTTGATACAAAAAGGAACATAGTAGCTTTTCTTCCTTAAGGACCGGCCCCAGAATGCTCTGTGAGTGAGCAAGTCGGTTGCCTATTAGCAGGTCCGTCGCCATAGCTACCTGAGCCCACACAGCAAAGGATGGAAGGAAGGAAGCAAGCCCGTGGGAAGGACTGGTTGTCAGGTGTGGGTGGGAAAAAAGAAATTAGGGATGATTGCTTAGAGGGGATGACTGGAATGAAAGGAGCCAAACCTTTAGAAAAACACAGCGTTGGTTCTAATTATGCCTCTCATTTTCCAAGGAGACCCTGATTCTTGTCTGTGGCTTTTCAGTGTGTCTGTTCCTGACGTCACCTCTAGAAACAGGAGAACTGCTCTGACAACCATCGAGGCTGTGGGAGGGAGTGTCCGACTAGGACAGAGAGGGAGCCCCGTCCTCACGCAGGTGCTTCTAGAATGATGCCATAATGACTATAGCAGATTGAAGATGCTGAGACATAAACTGCCTCCATGTGACCACTAGGGTTAGTTGTAGGGGAGAAAATAAGTCTTGGTGTCAACTAATTAACAGGTATGTGTCCCGTGTGGCAGGAGGCCCAGGCTGGCAGATGATGGAGGAAAGTCCTGCCCCGCCCTGAGATGGGACTGGCTGGAAGACAGGAGTCTAAGAAATCAACGGAAAGTCTACTCCCTGGATGGGAAAATGAATTGCAGTTTGGTGTTAAGCAATCTGTCTAATCAAAGAAAAAAGGAGAATATCGTGCTGCTGTGAAGGCCCATACCCAGGAGGCAGGCGCTGTGGTCTCAGTGCACACGTGCCCTCACTAGGGGCCGAGAGAACTGCACAATGTCTTTACTCCAGGGCAATGGACATGTGAACATCAAAAAATACACTGAGCATCCACCACAGTGACCAGTGCGCCTTCATCAGTTTCCCCATCACCACAAGGGGAATGTATTGTACAAAACATACACATACTTATAAAAATCCCAGGCAAGCCCTAGCCAGTTTGGCTCAGTGGTTACAGTGTTGGCCCAAGGCCTGAAAGTTCCCAGGTTCAACTCCAGCCAAGGGCATGTACCTCGGTTGCAGGCAAGATCCCCAGTCCCGGTTGGGGCACGTGCTGAAGGCAACCAACCGATGTGCCTCTCTCACATCGATGGTTCTGTCTCTCACCCTCCCTCCTCCCCCCAAAAAGTAAGGAAAAAATATCCTTGGGTGAGAATTGAAAAAAATCCCAGGCAAGTGCAGTAAATACAATTGATTCAGATAAAATTTCCTCAATGATTAAATGAAAAACTGCTCAGTCCAGGCACATATGTGAGTTTCATATTTCTCTTAACGTAAATGGATGACTTGTGACAAACAGTAAACAAGTCAGGCTAACCCAAGTGTGTGCGCCCAGTCTCTAACCAGCCTGTCAGCGCTCGCTCTGGAATCGCTGCAACTGGAGCCCACCTGCTTGGCGAGCTCACTAAGTGTCCAGGTGGGTGCCCAGCTGTACCCGGGGTTGCTGCGTGGCCGTTGGTAGGGGCCGTTTCCCCAAACGCTACAAGGATTTCAGCTGGGTGCCCTGGGAGTCCTTCAGCCCTGTACAGTTTCTCTAGTAGCAGAGTTTGCACGTGTAATTGTTGCTTGGTAACCAGTGATGTGGTCTTCCTGCCCTGACACCGTCTCTTCTGTGAAGAGGTGGCGCATCCCCTCGCTCCAGGATCAGCTCCATGAATTTAGGCCCCGAGTCTTTATCACCGTTTTTCCTCTCTCCACGGGTTCCTGGATCCAGCAGAGTCATGTAACGCAGTACATGCACCAGGAATATTTTTCGCATGAGTGAATGAGAAGAGTTATAACCACAAAAGTTCACTGGAAGTTATCTTTTTTAATTTTTAAAAATTATTTATTTAAACAAACCAAAGGTCCAAGGACATTCAGTGGCATTCTTGCAGTCTTACAGCTGGTTAGGAGCTGAGCAAATGACACCCGAATTAACAAAACCCTTTGTGACCGGAGACTTACTCCTCCTGGCCGGCCTGGGTGGGAGACGGGGCACCAGCCCCCAGGCTGCCTTCCTGACGTCTCCCCTGCCCACCACCTTCACCTCCCACTCAGAAATGTGGATGGAGGAGGGAGTCAGCTACAGGGTAGGGTTGGTGTCTTTTTATTTTGCGTCAGGGTCATTTGTTAATCGTGCCTGAGCAGGGGTCGGTTCAGACAGAAAAACAACCGTCTACAGTCTAAGAACTTTCTCGGCCCGTCGGCCCTGCCTGCCCTGCCCGGACACGAAACCTGGGAGACCCGTGCCTCCTGCCCTAGCTTTTCGTGCCTGTTAGCAGATAAGTGGTTGCTCACTAAGGAGACTGTGTGTTTTGAAAAGTTTTTATATTCCTCACGACAAACATTAGGTGAGCGTGGAGGGCAGCTGCCCCTCACCTGCCTGTTTTTTAATCCAATGAGGCCACAAGGTGGCGCAACTTTGCCACAAAATAGTCTCAGCGGGGGAGGGGCCGTGCTGAGCCCAGGCCCGCAGGAGGGAGGAGGGCCAGGGTGTGCGGCTCCAGGTTCCCCCTGAAGTGCCACTTGCTCCCCAGAAGTCCACGCTGCACTCTCTCCCTGCACCCCCGTGACTGTGTCACTTAGAGACCTCAGCTCACACTGGGAAGAGCAGTTATCCCTGCAGATACACTGACGGCACGGATTTTGTTGACATGTATTTTATTACAAACTCCAAATATGTCATTGTTTACTAAAACTAAACAGACTGACAGATTCCTTCCTTCCCCGGTCTGTGCCGCAGCGACTCCTGCTCCAACTCCCCTCCCAGACTGCACTGAAGTCAAACGCAGTCACGTGTCCTGCCAGCAGGAGCTGCGTGGGTCCACGTGAGACATTTATCTCTGCAGGTGTTCAGGAGGCAGTCATGTTTATACCCCGACTCCAGGGTATTTAACTTGAGAGCTTGCAGAGCCCTGGGCAGTGACGAACCCTTCCCGGGGCCTCCCCTAACACACTGCACTGTGGTAACGGTAAAAAGCACTTCTAGAGCCACCGATTAATTTCTCATCAGGAATTGTGGACATAAGACTAAGACGCCCTGCTCCCTGTCTGAGAGCCCTTAATGGCAAACAGAATCTCCTCCGACCCACTGAAGCAGGAAAGGGGTTCACGACACACTGCGATGTCCCTCACGGTCATGCAGTGTGGGAGCGAGCTTTGAGATTATGCTGCCAGGACCACGGCCCACGCCACGCTGGGGGGAAGACTGGGGAGGCTGTCGTCACGGCTGCCGCCACCAGAACTGACGCCGTTCTCACGTGAAGGCCTGTGGGCCAGCAGGGTGGACAGAGTGCAGAGAGCCGCTCACTTTCAAAGACAGAGGGAGGCCACCTGCTTCTAGCTGCTGGGGAAGGCGTGGGGACAGCGCTGACAGATAGGAAGTTCGGGAACTTCCTAAATGACCTAAAGGCTATTGAAATCATTATGGGCTATGATTATGACAAATGTGCCCCTCGGGCCCGAAGGAGCCCACAGTCTGCAGAGGAGAGAAGCAGATGTTCAGAACTGCTGGCCTGAGGGCTGAGGCCCGAGCTAACCCAACTTGCTATATCTAATCTAAGACAGCGAGAACATGGAAAAGTGCCCACATTTTGTAGAGGGCGTGCCTAATTCTCCTTTTCAAATGAAAAGGGAGCTTTTTAATAAAACTTGCCGAGTTATCACTCATATGTGCAACAATTTTCAGACTAGTTTAACATCACAGTGAGCTTGCCCGTTTGGCTGAGACGTCATCTCAGTGATTAGAGAATGTTTGGGCATCTGTCCAGAAGTAACTGCTATGGTGCATTCCTGACCCTCGACTGGCCTGTGTACCCCAACTATGGTCTAAGCAGCACCGTTTAAAAACCCAATAAAGCCCGGCCGGGTGTGGCTCAGCAGTTAAGCGTTGACCTAGGATCCAGGAGACTACAGTTTGATTCCTGGTCAGGCACAGGCCCGGGTTGTGGGCTCGATCCCTAGTAGGGGGCAAGCAGGAGGCGGCCAATCAATGACTCTCTCATCATTGATGTTTCTATCTCTTCCTCTCCCTTCCTCTCTCTGAAATCAATAAAGATATATATATATTTTAAAAAGAGGCAACATATTATAAAACTATTAAAAAATAAAAATAAAAACACGGCATATCCCAGGTAAGGATCAAGCACAGAACACGTTAAGTCTATGAAAAGTCATGAGTCTGCTCTCATGCTCGAAATAGAAAAAGCCAGAAAAAATTCAAAACAGTTACAGCTGAAATAGCTATTGAATCGATTTCTTTAGAATTGGGTGGAAGGGACAGAATGCACCTCAAGCTGCTTTGCTGGAAGGGCCAGTGTTTGGTGAGAGTGACGGCCTAGTCAGCAGAGGAAGCTGCACTGCACAGCAGGCTGTGCGGTGACCAGAGCTAGAAACCGCCCGCCTCCTTGGAGTGACTAGTTTAGGCGGTGTCAGTCCCAGCAGCATCGCGCCTGCCTCCGAAGGGCCTTTCGGGCACCTGGAGGCAGCGCTGGCTGGTGAGGAAGGAACAGAGATGAGCTGGCATTTCCCCCCACCACTGATGGTGAGCGCCCTGCCGCTGCGCCAGTCTCTGCCCTGAGACCAGCCTTCACAATAACGTGCTCAGGGAGCAGCGAATCCTCGCTGGGCTTTTCCTGTGATTACTGTTAATTCCTCAGTTAACAGACCACCCTGGGGTCCCGTGGGCTGACCTGGCCCAGATTCGCCCCAGCAGCTGCCCAGGGTCCAACGGTGAGGACCAGGTGGCACCTCTGCTCAGGACTCTGTGGTCTGGTGCCCTCACCCTCCTCAAGGCCACTAACCTGCCAGGTGCTCCAGGCCCACGTCACTTGAGCTTTGCTTTTGATGATGCAGTTTTGATGTTGGCTCCTCCTGTAGACCTTAAACAGGAAATTCTGAGATGATCAGGTGACTTCTATGTAGCCTGACGTCATGTTAAGGTGTCGGGACCGCAGGTGTTATGGCTTCTGCCTCCTTCCTCGCGACTGCCTGTAACCGCTCTGTACAAACGAGTCTGAGAAAACAACTGAGAAATCTAAAGAGAAAACGTAGAAAAGATGGAGCAACTGAATGCAGCCTGAGGTGCGAACAGCGGAGCTGGGCTCCCACCGTGCACAGTGGGAGGACCAGGAAGGAGGGACCAGCCCTAAACCAACCGCAGCCAGAGGGGACCTGGGAAACAAGAGGCCCTTGACTTCTCCAGTTTCCTGCCCTTGGCAGAGCTCACCTCGTACAGCCAGGGGCTCTCTCCAGTGCCAGGACTCCCGCTGGCCCGGCCTGTTCTGGTGGTGCAGGAAGTACTTCACAATCGTCACCTCTGTCCCTGAATTCATTATGACAGAGGAACCAACACCGCACTTCAGTGCCGACATCGGTGTCAGCTTCGTCTCGGACGTCAGTTGCAACTCATCTGGGTCTTCGAACTCTCTGTACTTTATTATTTGAAATGAAAAATATTTTGAGCCTTTGAATATGATTTTTAGAGAAAATGTTGTGATAGTTTAAAAATTTGAGCATGTATTGCTGGGCTTTCAAATAACCCTTGTTTTCACATTTTGTTCTGCAGCAGTTCCTTCAACCCTCTGACGGCCAGTGCATTTACATTGCTAGCTGTGCTCCCCACCAGTAATCCCAGGCCCTCGGAGAATGCACTCAAGGGCCAGGTCTGAGGGAACCGTAAGTGTGCGCTGCTCTCAGACCAGACACTTCCCATGTCTCTAGAAGGCCGAGCTCTGCAAATCCCAGAAGAGAGACCAAGAGGAGCCTGCCCAGGACTCCTGCCACCCCATCAGTAGGTGTCCCCCAGCTTCTTGTCCAGTTCCTCACCCTGTAAAATGGAAGCAGCCCCAAGCCCACTTGCCTCCCAGGGCTGAGGAGCTGAAAACAGCACCTGTGAAAATGCTTTGTCAACTGATACCTTGAAGGGGGAGAAAGAAACAGTGACATAAGAGAGACCATTCAGAGGGCGCAGGTGGATGGGGGACTGGCGCTCCTGGTGGGTACTGACCCCACGTCAGCTTTGTCTGGTGCTCTCATCCACCATCTCCAGAGCGGAGAGGCTGCTAGTGTCCCGGGGAAGTGTTATGGCCTGACTAGACTGGCACTGTGAGCCCTTACAAAGTGGCCACACTGCTCTCAGGTCCCTGAGTCACTGTCCAACTCCGGGACCATTCTGGGTAACAGGCTGTGCCCATACCTGGAGGTCCAGTCCTCTACTGGTACCTGGTGACTAGCACAGTGCCTACTTCTGTGCAATCTGGGGCTGTGATCCCACCGGACACGGCACAGCTCTGATCACCGCTCCGGGAACCTTAGGGAACAGGAAGCAGTGCACCTTCAGGGCCAGTCCGAAGTCCTACTTCCGGGCATCTTCAGGGCAGCATTTGGGTGCATTTTCTAGTGTCGCCCATGAGAAAAGAGTAGCTGGGACTATAGGTACCTCCAGAAGCTGCCTCCCGGCCTGCCATTTCCCACCATCTCAATCATTCAAGGAATTCCATGTTATCCTGTAACTGTCTCATACGGATACAGTCCTATGGTTTCTTAAAAACACAAGATATTTTGTCACTCTCATTTGACAAATATTTAAATCATTTATTGCCATTAGGTTACAGCATTTCAGAACACACGCTGCATGGAAACAGATACTTTTTCAGACCCTGGTGATGAGATTTTACCGATGTGGCCAGCTGTCGGTTGTCTCATGGTGATTAAACAAAAGGCAAGAATTCTGAGTACTCAGGTTCTCAGAGTCACAAACTGTTCTCTTCTGCTTTCATTAAGTAAATGGCAATAGGTAGTGTGCACGTGACTGCAGATAAAACGAGCAGGGTTACTGAAATGATTGCCTGTGGCTACTCTTTATGAGAAGTGGGGTACTCAGAACTTGTGCGCCAGCAGGTACAGGGGCTCTCGCTGTCCCTGTGAAAGTCGTCTGGTTGGTTAAACAGCATTCAGCGTGTCTCGATGATGGAGGCTGTGACTCAGCAGCTGGCACAGCCTCCCCTTGGAGCGCCAGGCCCTCCCCTTCCGTTGTTATGACGATGCCTTTTTATTCATCCTGGAAATAAACATCAGGGAAGTCAGTGAGAAGCAGCTTCACTGTGGCCTCAAGGCATGGGGTAGCTTTAAGAAGACACTTTACATAACATCTAGTTCAACCTACAATTCTATACACACACCCTATTTTGTGCTATAGTAATTTGAGTCTGCACTGCCTTGTGTAACTGCCCAGTCACTGTTTCTAATACAACTGCAGTTTTGCTCAGCATCAAGTTTCCCATCCATCTGCACACTCACAGTCTGAAATGCCTCTTAGGAAAAGACTGGGCTTCACTGTCCCCATCCCTCCAAACAAAAAGGAGCCGAGCATCTGCTTACTTGTATTTGATGAGCCGCCCGCCCTGCACGAGCTGGGCAACCTCGTTGGTCGCGTGGCAGGCAAACAGGAGCCAGTTGCGAGGCTGCACCTTGTAGGCAAATCTCATGAACGTCAGGGAGTAACAGCAGAGGGCTGTAAAATACCAAAGCGAAAGGGAAGCGATGATTTCAATTTAGGAGACCTGGTGTGGAAGGGACCACCCAGATCAACAGCTCAACTGCTATAATCAAAAGAAGAACCTCTTCTGTTGAAGCCTTGGACAGAGACACACTACTGCTAAAATGCGCCCGTGAATAGGAAGCTCATCAGGCATCTGACTCCTGTCAGGTGCTGTCGCTCCTTACCTGAACATTTAAGAATGGGGGTGTCGGAGGGAGTGGGCAGACATGAGTTCCAGTCACATTACTGTCCCATCGAACCATTTACAGTTCATCACCTGAAGGAGCTGCTATGTAGTCCCCTCGACAGTTTTCTGGTCAAATATCAGGGTTTCAAGTCAATGTAAGGACATGATTTCCAAACACAGTTCCAGAAGACACATCCTTCAACTGGGTGCAGTCAGCCCGACAGGCAAACAGATCCCAGTTCTTCCCAGACACGTATTTCAGTTGCCTGTTTCTCCTCACCATGGAGAACTGACACCTTTGACACGTCATGTTGTGATGTCCTACCTGGAGCTACTGACCAGAGATGCGTCAGGAGCTGTTATGACTATGCAGGTGAAAGTCCCCCAGGTATTCAACGCTGCACTTACCGAACGTCATGCGCCCACTGATAATCTCTGGAGACTTCTTCATGTCATTGATGGCGGCAATGGGAAGACCCCAGTTGGCCACTGGGCCCCAAAAGTGCTGTGGAAAAGAAGGGAGAGAGAACTCAGGGCAGAGCTGTGAGCAGCTGTGGTTTCCTACTCCCCACAGTGTGAACCGCAGTATAAACTAGTGTGAACTACAGTGTGAACTGTGGGAACACATCTCCGTGTTTACGTCCCTCAGTGGTTTGCCTGTCAATCAGCACTTCTTGCAAGGTGAGCCCAAAGCCAGGAAGGATTTGGCAGTTTGCCATGGTCCTGACCTCCTTTTGGCTCACAGCTAAGTAACCTCTGTCGATTCACAGAACTGCAGAACAAGACTAACTCACGATTGCCGTGACTTAAAACCTATGGTAGCTATTCTCTACAATTTAATGTTTAAATCTGTCAAAACTTTTTTTTTTCAAATTTTCAGTAAGATATTTGACATCGCTTAAAGTACAGACCCTAAACTGGATACTTTTTCTGAAGAAAGGGGCTTTATTTAATGTGGGAAAATTGTTTTGGCTCATATGAGCTATTTTAAGATCAGACAACCTGGAAATCTACACTCAGAACCCTAGATATTAAGAAATTAAGATTAGAAAATGCTTTTAAAGTAATAGCAACAACTTATATTTTAAAAATGAACCAACAGTTTTTCATTTTGCAACTACACAAACACCCCAGGAAACCAATACTAAGCTGTCTATGTTTAACAGCAGCAACGTCCAACTTAATTTCTGAGGCTGAAATAAGTGCGGTGGCTTTTCCATAAAATTAACATTTGTTTTATCAACGTACAACTTACAAATACTTTAAAATGTGAAAGAAACCACACACTGTTGGTTAACCACTCTTTTTAGGTATCAGAACATTTAAGAGTGCTAACTTCTGCCTGTCAGCATTCGAGATAAACTTAGACTGCAAAATACATGTTTGGAGCTTGCATTTTTAATATTGACCAGTAATTAAAATCACAAAATTCCGTAAGAAGTGGGAAACCAAGGAAAAACAAAAAAACTATATAGAAGCACACTGGGCACGATATAAGAATATCTTGAAATGTTGACTTAACAAGCTTAACTGTAAGCATGAGGCCTAGGCCCTCAACAGCTGTAAACTGTCAGAGCTCCAACGTGGCCAGCATGGTGAATACAGAGGGTTTGACATCTGCAGAGTAAACCCTGTGGACCAGACAGGTGGCATAAAGAATCTGAGGTTCTGGGTGGCTCACCAGTCCCCTCGTCTTTGGGCTGGATGTGACGAGAATGAGAAACCCCACTGGAACTCAAACACCTCCTGTCTCTGGATGAGGGGAGCACCTTCCTCAGGCACTGGGCCTCTGCGAGGAGGGTGTGCCTCCCTCACCACCCCCTTCCCTCCTTCTTCCCATCCTTTCCTGGGGTCACTCCATTTTCACGCTTCTTATTCCAGGGATCTTCCTTTCCTCCTTTTTTGATTAGTCTTTTTCCACTACGGTCTATTTTCACTTTTCCCCATAATCTCTTTCCGCTGCTCTGCCTGCCTGATGGTCTTGAGGTCTACTCCATGTGCATCCTCTCTCACAATGGGGACCAAGTAGAGACCATGCACCACCTGAAAACTCCAGGTGCCCTGGGGGATTTCCATCAAATGCTGGTACTGCAGGTTTTAGTGTGAGAGAGTCAGGGTTGTGTGCAACAGGGAAAAACTGGATGTGCACTGAGACTGAGACCTATGCTTAAAGTGACTTCTTAAAAAGTAGGTAAAAATAACTTCAACAGTATTACTAGGATATCTACCTTAGAAGTTTAATGCACGCTTTCTATGTAGTGCAAGGTTCTCCTTTCCCTTTTTGAAGTACCTTTGGTCTGTACTCTATTACATATTCACTAGCCAATGTCTAGAAAAATGAGGAATGTCATGATTAATATTTGAAAGAAAAAAATGAACATTTTGGATTACATAGGAAAATACTTTTATTCCACTATAATTCTTAACTTGGATAAAAGCACATTCACACACGAGGAGCAACATGGCCTATCTCTTGGTTTGCAGTCTCTGTCTCCAGTTCGTCAGTGGTCGGGCCCTGTGTTTACTGTGGTCAGTAAGGCCCAAGTGGCATGGGTCCCGCAGAGGCCTTCACCCTGGAGTGGACCAGGACAATCACCAGGACACCAGGAGTGCACTTGGCCCATAGGCTCACCGTCATGGTGGCGAGTCAGGCAAAGGCAGCCCGGCCTGCTGTCCATAACTTTGTTAATGTAGAAATCTGCTAAGGCTGAAAATAGGAACGACTTTCTTACCGTGCTATTTTGTGAGACATCACCGAGGTTCAGACAGGGGGACATGAAAAGAAAAAAAAGAGAAGAGAAGATGAGATGCTTTCAAAGGTTTGGTTCCATTGGCTACTCCAACTTCACGCTGCTCGGTCCCGTAGCAGACGCCCAATAGGCATCCCTTTCCCTTACATCAGTCTCGTGATATTCCAGTAACAACTTGGGCCTAATAAAGTCAAACCCTGATTTTATAAAAAGTAAGGTAATCCTTAGAGTGCTCCCATAGAAATACTGTGTAAGTCACCAACAGGAGTTGCATGTGCAACTTTAAATTTCTAAAAGGAAAACAGAAGTTAACTTTATTAAGTTCATTTATTCCAACATATCAAAAGTACTTTAATCTGAACACATAGCCAGTGAAAACTTATTAATAAACTATCCTATGTTCTATTTTGTAGCAAGTTTTCGAGGCCCGGTGTGTGTTGATGCTCACGGCACCTCTTGGTCTGGATGAGCCACAGTTCAGGTGCTTGGCTGCCCTCTGTGGCTTGTGGCTCTCAAATTACACATCACAGGCTTAAAGGGACCGTTTCTTTGAAAATGACAAGTTGGAGAGAAGCACCATGCTGCAGAAATCTGTTAACAATAAACTTTCCATTTTCATTTACTAATAGGTTACTGCCAGAATAAAGCCCCTAAAAAGAGCCATGTAATTTTGTTTTGTTTACTACTGAAACCCTGGAACCTAAAATGCCTTCCATTTACAAGGCTTTCAAAAAATATTTGTTGAATGAGTGAACAGTAAAACCTTTTGATGTTAAGCTTCACAACACTTAAAACATATCCAAAATTTTATAGTGAATTACTTTCATTTCTGAAATGGCAATTCTTATTGCCAGAATATGGGTTAATTGTTCCGTTTAGGCAACATCTTAAAGTGTATCTACTAAAAGAGTTATTGAAATACAATGATAAAATCTCTATGGAGACACTCACACCCAAACGACACTTCTGGAGGTTTTGATCCAGAGGCTGCATAGGTTCTAGTTTACAGCACTTAGTTAACAGCATGAAATTACTTGTTGACAGTGCTAAACAGACTTCAAATAGGTCCTATTATGAAATATCAAAAGCAAAAAGCCTAATAAATTATGTCCCAGACTGTCCAAACGGAGCACAGCACTGGCCCAGAGGCAGTGACCTTACCAGGTCAGAGGGCGCAGCCAGTAGGACAGCCGCTAGTCCCTCTCCTTACCACATCTTGGCTCAGGGTCTGAACACAGGCCTTTTATTGAACCATATATTAGCAACAGTGCATTTTTCTTTCCCTACAAAAATATTTTAAAAAATGAAGTGCTTAAAATCTACAATGTCACCTTGAAGATCATTTAGTTTTCAATTCAGGACTCTCTCCTTGAATTGTTCAGATTCTACCCTATTTTACAACAGGTGACTTTAGTACAAATACAAAGGGATACAAAAAACAAAATTCCTACCTTCCTATGCTGCTCGATCCAAAAGTCCTACATAAAAATGATTGGTAGCCATAATGTGAAATCCCACTGTTGCCAAGAATGGCAGGGAAAACAAGTTCCCTTAAAAAACTAACGAGTCAAACCTTAATTCAATTAAAGTAAAAGGGAGGGGAAAGGTACACAAGCATTAATGCTCCCTGAAGTTAATACTGGGATACAGCTTAGGCCATGTACCTACGTATTCTATTGAAAAGCCCGGCTCTCAGAAACCTACCTAGCAGCAAAAATACATATAAATTTAGAAAAGCAGGGCTAGCTCTCTTCCTGGAACATACACCTAACAAACTCGCCCTATGCAGCAGAGCGCCAGGTAGTAACTAGCACACTTGCTGTATGGATATGGTCCCAAAGCTTTATGCTCAGTTATACCAAAGGAGGTTGCCCTGGGCTGCACCTAAGGACTAGAAGGCGCATTGCACAGGAGAGCACAGGATACAAGCTCCGGTGACATTCAGGGGGACCTTCACCAGGGACTAAGGCACGGCCTTGTATTACTGCTTTGCTCAGACTTTCCAACCGGAGAACCCGATGCGCCGCAGGATTAAAAGTAGCAGCAGCCCTGGTTACACTGGCCAAAGCCAGGGGCCTGTAGCTGCGCCCGTGGGGGTCACCCCGGGCCTCTCCCCGGGCAGCCCCCTACCGCTCAACCACTGTGACAACGGAAACGCCACGCAGCCCGACACCTGCTCGGGTTTAAAATCACACACAGAGAACTACCTAAAAATTAGACTCCGAAATAAACGGCTTAAACTGCTTCAAAGTTACTTTAAGCGTCTTGAAATAAAAGCCGGCATCTGAAGGTCACAGGTGAAATAAAATACGGAGGCGCGTCCTCGGGACTCTCGGCCGCGAACGCCCCGGGCTCCGGGGCGGCGACCG